ACCTCTAAAAAGGGCATTTTTGTGCATCCCCCTGAGTGCCTAAGTGCATGCAAAATTTGAAGGGGGGTTGAAAATTTTCATTTCCCGAGATGTTTGATTCTTACAGAGACTTGTTCTTAATCGCCTCGCTACCATCCTTGTTGCACACACCATTATTTCACTTAATCAGCATTGTGGCTAGTTTAATTAAGTAGGAGTTTCATGGTAAAACAAGGAAGGTTTTTCACCAACGACCAATTGGCGACTATTTGGCAAAAAACACTCTTGAAGACAATTCTATCTCGGGACATAAGTAAAAGAATCCTCAAAAGGTAACGTATCGAAGTTAGGAAGGAAAGAAGTAATAATTTTTTCACAATTAGAGCTCTTTGCACTTTCAAAGTGAATAAAAACTAAAGTCTATTTGTATGCCCCAATTTCCTTAGATTTTACTTCCTCTTCGATATCACCGCATAATATGTTTATTTGTACAAGATGAGGTTTTAGTTCGTTGTATAGAAGCATTTGAGTGATGGTGTTTTAGCCTCAGTTGCTAAACATTAAATTACTTGAGTAACCTGGAGGGATGAATGCTTTACTTTCTGTTGATCGACATGTGTGTTGTTCAATCTAAATGCATGAATTACTCGCATGAACTGTGTAATCAAATTTTATACGCATGTGTTTTGAAAGTGTTCTTCTCCACTGCAAGTTTAGTCTTAAGAAAAGTTACATGAAAATAGTATAGAAGTTGACCATTTTGTTTCATCCATTTCCTGTAGATCGCGGTCTTCTTATGTTTACGAGACTTCTCACAAAAGAGTACAACAGACGCGCTCTTTTAAAACCACTCCCTTGGCAGAACACCTTAAGGCTACGTCTGGACGATGTTTTTACAAGATTGTCAATCGTCTCAAGAAGAGTAACTGATTTCAAGTTGGAAGACAATGAAGTGAACATGTTTGATATCTTTAACACTCTAAACAAAGGTGATGATGCCATGGTTCTAGTGGAAGGAAGCCCTGGAATTGGAAAGACGACTTTTTGTCTTAAAATCTCGCACGACTGGGCGAATAAAAAAATTCCAAATGAAACTACTTTCCCAGTTTTTAAACTTCTGCTGTTGCTGAAATGTCGAGACATCCGTGGGAATATATGCGAAGCAATTTTTGATCAGCTCTTCCCCAAAGATATTAAGAAAAAGGCCAAGAAAAGGCTGATAAATTACATCGAAGACATTCATAATCAGCCGAGCATCTTGATCGTTTTGGATGGCCTTGATGAACTTCCCGAAACGGCTAAAGGCCACGTGAACGAGTTATTAGATAGACAACGTTGGTCGTTTTGCTATATACTGGCCACCTCTCGCCAAGAAAAAGGAATTTTTCTGCGACAGAATGGTAACTTTGCTGTTCTTCTTCAAATTAATGGGTTCACGGAAGCAGACGCTTTCCAATACATCAGAAAGCACTTTG